GAAGCTTTTTATTTATTCCCACTATTTTTGCTCTACTTACCCAAGAAAGTTTGTACATGACCCTGGGTGACTTCCACATAATACTGATGTCATTCCCCTATTTAACATATAAGGTATTATGTCATAAAGATGTACTGTAGTAGAACTGATTTCATTTTATACAAACTATTCCTTATACTTTTTAAAAAAAATTAATTAATTTATTTTTGGCTGTGTTGGGTCTTCGTTTCTGTGCGAGGGCTTTCTCTAGTTGTGGCAAGCGGGGGCCACTCTTCATCGCTGTGCACGGGCCTCTCACTATCGCGGCCTCTCTTGTTGCAGGGCACAGGCTCCAGACACGCAGGCTCAGTATTGTGGCTCATGGGCCTAGTTGCTCCGTGGCATGTGGGATCTTCCCAGACCAGGGCTTGAACCCGTGTCCCCTGCATTGGCAGGCAGATTCTCAACCACTGCGCCACCAAGGAAGCCCTCCTTATACTTTTTTTTTAAAAAAAGTGTAGTTTTCTTTTTTTTTTTTTGTGGTATGCGGGCCTCTCAGTGTTGTGGCCTCTCCTGTTGCGGAGCACAGGCTCCGGAAGTGCAGGCTCAGCGGCCATGGCTCACGGGCCCAGCCTCTCCGTGGCATGTGGGATCTTCCCGGACTGGGGCACGAACCTGCGTCCCCTGCATTGGCAGGCGGACTCTCAACCACAGCGCCACCAGGGAAGCCCTAGTTTTCTTTTAAGTGGAACAAAATGAACAGAACTCTAAATTCTGACTCTGGGATAACCGTTGAAGTTGGCCATTAGTTTTATGAGGAATAATATAAAATGTTTACTTTTTCCCCAATAGGTATCAGCATTATTTTGGGAGTGGCTGAGGGTGAGTTCTTTATTCATGATGCTGAAATTCAGAAGTCCGCACTTCAGATTATCATCAATTGTGTGTGTGGCCCGGATAACAGAATTTCTAGTATTGGCAAATTTATCTCTGGAACTCCTCGGAGAAAGCTGCCTCAGACTCCCAAAAGCAGTGAGCACACTCTGGCCAAGATGTGGAATGTGGTCCAGTCCAACAATGGCATCAAGGTGCTTCTGTCCTTACTCTCCATCAAGATGCCCATCACAGATGCAGACCAGATCCGGGCCCTGGCCTGCAAGGCCCTGGTGGGCCTGTCTCGCAGTAGCACTGTCCGGCAGATCATCAGCAAACTGCCCCTTTTTAGCAGCTGTCAAATCCAGCAACTGATGAAAGAGCCTGTGCTGCAGGACAAACGCAGTGACCATGTCAAGTTCTGCAAGTATGCTGCTGAGCTCATTGAACGGGTGTCAGGAAAGCCACTTCTCATTGGCACTGATGTGTCCCTGGCACGACTGCAGAAAGCAGATGTTGTTGCCCAGTCAAGGATCTCCTTTCCTGAGAAAGAGCTGCTTCTGCTGATACGAAACCATCTCATTTCTAAAGGGCTTGGGGAGACAGCAACTGTGCTGACTAAAGAGGCTGACCTGCCCATGACTGCTGCCTCCCATTCTTCTGCCTTCACCCCAGTCACTGCTGCTGCTTCTCCTGTTTCTCTTCCCCGTACCCCTCGCATCGCCAATGGCATTGCAACTCGACTGGGCAGCCATGCTGCTGTGGGTGCCTCTGCCCCTTCTGCCCCCACTGCTCATCCTCAGCCACGGGCCTCCCAGGGTTCACTAGCTCTGCCTGGCCCATCTTATGCAGGCAACTCTCCTTTGATTGGTAGGATCAGTTTTATCAGAGAGAGGCCATCACCCTGCAATGGCAGGAAAATCAGAGTGTTGCGGCAGAAGTCGGACCATGGCGCCTACAGCCAAAGCCCAGCCATAAAAAAGCAGTTGGACAGACATCTTCCTTCCCCACCTACGCTGGACAGTATCATCACAGAATATCTTAGAGAGCAGCATGCTCGCTGCAAGAACCCAGTTGCCACCTGCCCACCTTTCTCTCTCTTTACTCCTCACCAATGTCCTGAGCCAAAACAGAGGCGGCAAGCGCCAATAAACTTTACCTCAAGGCTAAACCGCAGGGCATCATTTCCAAAGTATGGAGGGGTGGATGGCGGATGCTTTGATAGGCACCTTATCTTTAGCAGGTAAGGAGAGGTTACCTCACTTCCTGGGAATTGGAATGATTTTTCTATTTAAGTCAAAGTATGTGGGCAATATCAGCATAAAGTAATTAGTCCGGAAAACCATCTGTTGGCCTGAAATACCAGGAATTATCACTGTGTGAATACATGAGCAATGTGACTATACCCCCTTTTGTCAACCATGGGTTCCTTGTGTGATTATTGGCAATATATTGATAAGGTACTCTGTGTTCTTACTATAACTAGTATGTTTTCTAGAACCCATGCAACACTCTGTCCCTAACTAGGCTGTCAAGTTTGTTTTTGTGCTGGTCCAAGTTGTCTCCTCTTATTCCTTAAAAATCTTAAGTGAAGGTCATGGTATCCCAGGTTTTACACATGGGAATTTTTGTTATTGTTAAAATTTTTAAGTGAAGGTCATTTTCTCTCTTTTAAAATGAAGGTGAACCACTGAAGGTCACTGATATTGTGGAAGAACCCATTTGAAACATAAATGCTTTGTTTTTCCTTCTGTCCTTCTAACAGAGTTTTCTTTTTCTGAGCCCTTTCCTGTTCTTTGTCTCTGATTCTCTTTTGTTTGCTTAGGTTCCGTCCTATTTCAGTGTTCCGGGAAGCCAATGAGGATGAGAGTGGCTTCACCTGTTGTGCATTCTCAGCACGAGAGCGGCTCCTGATGCTTGGCACCTGCACCGGGCAATTGAAGCTCTATAATGTGTTTAGTAGCGGTTCCTGATGCTTGGCACCTGCACCGGGCAATTGAAGCTCTATAATGTGTTTAGTGGACAGGAGGAGGCCAGCTATAACTGTCACAACTCAGCTATCACACACCTTGAACCTTCCAGGGTAAAGGTCCTTTCCTAGGTTATTCTCAATCATTCTTCTAGGATAGGTTGGTGAACTGTGGGCTTGTGGTCTGACTGGTTTCCTGTATTTGTGCATAAAGTTTTATTGGAACACAGCCATGCTCGTACGTTTATGTATTGTCATGGCTACTTTTATGCTACCACGACAGAGTTGAGTACTGTAGTTGCATGCAACACAGATCATATGGCCTGCATAAACCTAAAGTGTTTACTATCTGGCCCTATGTTTGCCAACCCTTGTTCTAAGATCTGAACATAGATAGATTTTTAATTTGCTTCATTTGGAAATGGAGATTATCAACTGTGACCACTAAAGTTTTCTTTTTGTGTTGGAAGGAAATCTCAGAGTACTGTGAATTTTTAGGAAAACAAGCATATGATTCCAGTGGTAGTTCACAGTTTATTAACACTATTCTGTGGATGAAATTGATGCCTTTGCTGTTTCTAAAAGTCAAGACTGTTAAGATGACAAGAATAATTTTCCTGATTTTAAAGTAAAGGAGGTTGACCTTTTATTGGGCTTTCTCTTTGAAAAACCTTTAAGAATCCTTAGCTAGGAAGTCTAACAACTGTTTCCAGTTGACTGATAATTCAGATGAGATAGATGGAGAAATATGGCCAAATATTAAGAAAGGAGGAACCATCTTTGACATCTTCCCAAGTGTCACATCCTCCCACCCCCTGCCTTGGAACTATTATATTTTAGGAGGATTTAATATTCTTAAATTTAGTTATTTTTTAGGACATAGGAGGTACATGTTACTTAAGTCCTAGCAGCTTCTGACCATTTCTTGGTTCCTAAAAGTTTTTCTGTTTTCTTTATAATCCAACAATATATTTTATATTTTAGAATGCTAATGGAAGATGGCATTTATATAAACACATGATTACCCACCTTGGGCCTCCCATCTTCTTTTAGGACGGGTCCTTGCTGCTGACATCTGCTACTTGGAGCCAGCCTCTGTCTGCACTTTGGGGAATGAAATCAGTATTTGATATGAAGTATGTATCTACTTTTATAACCTAGTCTCTCTGTTTTACAGTTTATCCCCTTCATCTGATTCTTTGACTTAAAGGCTTTTGGGAGAAAGAGGAATGCTATAAGTTATATTGCTGACTTCTGTCTTCCTCATCTGTGGTACATGTTTAATAAGATCTTATTTTTCTTAATTGCTGGGTTTTCTTATCAGGTAGGTATATACATTCCCATCACACAGCAGACCCTTCAGTAATCCAGAATGGCACATCTATGTATTTTCTCATGTTCCCATGCGTACATTGCTATCTTTGCTGGAGCATATTTCAAAGGCACGTGTACCCAGTTAGCCATTTCTTTAACCAGGTAGTTTCCATTAATTATTTTGGATCTGCTTGGACAAACTGGTAGAGGGAATTTTCTTTTTAATCTTATGTGTACAGTTTTTTCCTCTTTGGGAGCTGAGAATCTTTAGGTGAGTATAGTCAGGCAAGAGGCTGAGGATCACCTTATTTTCAGTCAGTTGAATAATTATGTCCCAAAGGTCAGTTATATCAGTACTTCTGTTGTTTGTTCATAGGCATTCCTTCACAGAAGATCACTATGTTGAGTTCAGTAAGCACTCTCAGGATCGAGTCATAGGCACAAAAGGAGACATTGCCCATGTAAGTACTTAAGAATCCACTTCTTTCAAGTGATTTGTCTATTTTTTTATACTGAAATCTGCTGGACTGAGTGTGACGACTTAAGTCCTGTGGGTGACAAGAAATTACTCAGTGATATTCTTTCCAGATAGAATCTGTAAGTGTAATGAAGTAATTCTGAGCTATATGGAAAAAATGTGAAAAGAACTTAATCTGACAGTTTGAGAACTATTTCATTAGCAGAGCAGATATTTTCAAACACTAAGTTTTAGATGAAATAAAGTCCCTGCCTTTATGGAGCCTCACTGGGGAGACAGTGAATAAAGAAGCAAATATATAGTATGTCAGGTGGTAAGTGCTGCCAAGGAAAAGAAAGCAGGGTAAGAGGTAGGAAGTGCTTGGTGGTGGTGTGGGGGACTTCCTTTTTATCTAGGAAATCAGTGTCACTGATTGGGTAATGTTTAAGCAGTGTCTTAAAGGAAGTGTGGGCATCATGCAGATGTCTGGGGAAAAGTGATCTAAGATGGGGGATGGCAAGGGAAAAGCCCTTACTTGGGAGGTGGGAGGAAGAAGGCTGAGGTCAGTGGTGGGGCATAGCGTGTAGCCTCTTGCAATGTGTTAAGACCTTTGGTTTTTCCTCTGAGTGAGATGAAGACACTGGAGGGTGAGCAAGAAAGCACATGACTGGATGTAAAATTCCTAAAGTGTGAGTCTGGTTTCTGTGAGAGAAGCAAGAGGAGGCTTTCCAGTTAGGAGGGTGTTGTGCCAGCTAATATGTGAGAGCGTAGTGGGGCTGTGCCTAGGTGGGCGTGGTGGAGGCAATGAGAAGTGATGTAGCTGGACCCTGGGGTTTTGGATGCATGGAGTTTGTGATTCTCTTAGACACTCAAATAGGAAATGGGCAGTTGAATATACAAATCGGGGGTTCAGGAGAAAAGTCTGGGGTGGGAGATATAAATATGGGAGTTGTTCACTTGTCGACAGTATGAACCATGAACTTGGATGAGATCATTAAGGAGGCTAGAGAAGAGAAGTGTGAGGACAGAGTCCTGGCATGTGCTAGTATTTAGAAGTTGCCCATGTGAGAAGGAACTTGGGAAGGAGAACAAAGTGTGTGGCCAGTTAGGTAGCAGGAGACCTCAGGAAAAAGATGTGCTCTAGAAGGCAAGGGAAGACTCTTTTGAAGAAGGATTGATCTCCTGGGTCAGAAACGGCTGATAGGTTACGTAAGTTAAGAATTGAGGGAATTCCCTGGCGATGCACTGGTTAGGACTCTGGGCTTTCACTGCGGAGGGCTGGGGTTCGACCACTGGTCGGGGAACTAAGATTCTGCAAGCTGTGTGGCGTGGCCAAAAAAAAAAAAAAGGATGAGAATTGAGAAGTGACCTTTGACTAACCATGTGGAGGTCAGTGTTAACCATGTCAGGAGCTAGTTCTGTGCACTGGGATGAAAAATCTGATTAGAGTGGGTTCACGAGAGAACAGGAGAGAAGTGGAGACACTGAGTATAGACAAGTCTTTTGTAGTATTTTGCTGAAAAATAAAGAGAAGAGGGGATAGTAGCTTGAGGTGGGGGATATGGAGTGGTGAAGAGAGGGTTTCTCCCAAACTTAATTTGAAAGTGTTAAAATATATAGAAGAGTTGAAATAGTACGCATAACTACCACCTAGATTCATCAGTTTAGTATTTTGCCATAGTTTCTTTCTGTGTAAATATGTGTGTTTTTCTGAATTATAGAAAGTAAGTTGCAAACATTTTATCCCTAACTCTTATAACATGTATATCCTAGCAATAGTGACATTTTATTACATAATCACACTGTTATCAAATATAAGAAAATTTATAGTAATTCCTAAATATCATCTAATATCCATCCCATACTCAGTTTTCCTGATTGTTCCTGATGTGTTTGGTTTCAAATGTTTTGTTTTTTTTTTTTTTTTTGAACCAGGATCCAGCCAAGATTCACATATTGCATTTGGTTGTTATGTCTCACTAATGTTTTAAAGCCAAGAACCATTTCTCCAGTTTTCATGACATTGACTTTTGAAGAGACCAGGCTAGTTGTCTTGTCCCACGATCTGGATTTGTTTGTTTCCTTGTGGTGTCTCCCTATTTGTTCCTCTATTAAAGGAGGATTTTTTAAAAAAGATTGGATATATTACAGCGTGTCTGTAAGCTGATGGGAAAGATCTGGTCTCTGCATGGGTTGCACATTGTAGACTTTGGATAGTATATTGGGATATTTTAAGGAGAAAAGGGCATTTCGTTGATGCCTTTCTCCAAAAAGTAACCTGTCAGAGTATTCTATGAGTAATGTTGGTTAGTCCACATGGAGAGTTTCTCAGTTTCAGTCTTAGAAACATTTTCTGTTTCTTGAAAGTGGGATGGGGAAGAAGAGGGTTTTCTTATCCCTATTGCAGTCTCACTTATTATTTTCTTACTTGTGGCAAAGAGACTTTTCAAACCTTGAATGGGAACCAAAGTACATAAACTTTGCTTGTATGGGTGTGGTCTTCCTATTTTCCAGTTATTTTCAATGTTAGGCCTTTTATAATTTTGATGGGCTTTGGAAAGCATGAGAGAGATATTTTACGCAGCTTCTGTTTGAATTCGTCAGTGGATGGATTGGTCTGATTTTTCTCTTCCCACCCCTTCTTCTCTAAAGATTTATGATATTCAGACTGGCAACAAGCTGTTGACTCTGTTTAACCCAGATCTTGCCAACAACTACAAGAGGAACTGTGCCACCTTTAATCCTACAGATGATCTTGTCTTAAATGATGGCGTCCTCTGGGATGTCCGCTCTGCACAGGCCATCCACAAGTTTGACAAGTTCAACATGAACATCAGTGGCGTTTTCCATCCGAATGGGCTGGAGGTCATCATTAATACTGAGATTGTATCCTTTATGCCCATGTCTTAATTGCCATTTGTTACCTAGTTTGTAATGCAGAAATTATTTATCTTTCTACCAATACCTGGTCGAAGTATCCACACAGGTAAATAACCTGGTTTTTTCCTTTGGTTTGAAGTATTATTGAATCTCTAGTGGATTCAGTTGATACTGGTAATTATTGATGACTTTTACTAGTGTGTTTTCTTTGTATCGGGAAGTGACCAGATTACTCCCTCCCACTTCCCCAGGTGTCAGATTGACTTTTATGTGTCTTCAGAAGGATTTTACTTTTGCTCTATAGAAATGACACATAAGAGTAAAAAGAAGTGCTACTATTGGGAGAGAGGGAGCTCATGTAGTTTTTATGTATATAAGGATATCATAGGAGATTTTCAGGGTCATTATTCAGTAATATGCATTCTGTATGCTTTTGCTTTATCTTGATCTTGTTGACTTTTAAAGCATTAATACCTAGAAGGAGGGGAAAAGAAAGTAGTATTTCAGAATTTCCCTCATGAGGCTAAATAAGAAGTTTTGGGGAAAATAGTTTTCCTTGACCTTTTCCCCTCCTAGTGGGACCTTCGTACTTTCCATCTTTTACACACAGTTCCTGCTCTAGATCAGTGTCGAGTGGTGTTCAACCACACGGGGACAGTGATGTATGGAGGTAATAAACTTTTCACTTTTCATTATTCTCTTTCTCCCTCCTCTCCCCACTCACTTAATTTGATACTTCCTATTTAGAAATATCTGTGAATTGAAAAACATTTCAAAGTTGTAACATAAAAGATAAAATAATAGTACAAATGGTGACAAAATTTGTTGATGAGAATAATGTCGATTTAAAGTGGAGTGCCACTGGCTTTGAAGATAACAAGTAAATCTTGTATAGAAAGAAATTTCATGAGTAATTTACCATGCGTATCATTATGAACTTAAAGAAAAACCTTTTTTGTCTTGTGATTTTTGTACGCTTTCAGATGTAACAGTTGTTGGAAGCTATATGAGAGGTTGAGGATATTGTTTGGATATGCAAGGAGGATGCTTTGAGAGGAATTTACTACAGGGAAACTCTCTGAAGTCTTGATTGTCCATTAATACTTTCTGCAGTTGTGAATAGGTGATGTTTCTGAATCTAATAGTATTTTGCTTCCCTTTCCTATTTCCCCTTTCTGTCCCAACTAGCTATGTTGCAGGCAGATGATGAAGATGACTTACTGGAAGAGAGGATGAAAAGCCCTTTTGGATCATCATTCCGAACATTTAATGCAACTGATTACAAACCTATAGGTAAGTGTGAAGGTCAGGTATTGATGATTTTGCCTTGTTTTGGTGATCCTTATTTAAGATGCTCCATTTTCTGAGAGAATTATAATTTTTCTGCTTTTGAAAAGCAGAGGAGTTAGGGAAATATTTATGAACAGTCACCTTGAATTCTGTTAACAGAAAGGCTGGTTTTAAGATCACAGTAGTAGTCTAGTCCTGAGTCTTGTCACATTCTGTTTTCCAGCGACCATTGATGTGAAACGGAACATTTTTGACCTATGTACAGACACCAAAGACTGCTATCTTGCTGTCATCGAGGTAAAGGGAGCAAGAAATCCTACTGTTTTATTCTGATATTTAAGATCATTTTCAACTTACACTCCAGACATTTGTATCTGTTATGTGTTCTAAAGATGATGCATTTCTGGTGATAGATTAGGATAATCTACTCATCTGATGGGGAGATACACAGTATAAGAGAAGTAGGAAAATCCTGCTATAGAGCATTGGGGAGCGTCCCATATCCTATTATCCTGGACTCACACTGTCATCCCTTTCTTAGAGGAGTCATTCTCTCTCTAGAGCATCCTTGGAACAGTGTTGTTCCCAGGGATGGTGGTCTCTCCCTTGCTGTCCAGGCCTTCTCATCCTGTTTTTCTTTCCCTCTTTGTGTCCTAGGCATGACATTTTCAGAATCAGTTCAAGAATTTTGGGTATTGGAAGCTTTGATAGTTACAGGGTCAAGGTGTGTGAGTGCCAGTCATAGCTGAGGTGTGGATATGGGCCTTCTAAAAACTAACTTCTTGTGGACTGGGTGTTCTATTTCAGAACCAAGGCAGCATGGATTCTCTGAACATGGACACAGTGTGCAGGCTATATGAAGTAGGCAGGCAGCGTCTGGCAGAGGATGAGGATGAAGAGGAGGACCAGGTTAGTGGTCTTTGAAATTTCTTTCTGCTGAATAATGCTTTATTAGAAATTATGCATTTCTGCTTTTAGTTATAGGGTTTTTCTTTTCTTTTTTTTTTTTAAGATTTTTGCTATAGCGGTGTTTGCTACCTGTTAGCATATTCTGAAGGCCTGTCTTGTGTCCTTGATCACTGAAACTGATCAGAAGAAAGCAGATTTTTATTATTACAAGACTTTAAGCAGTATCTGATAGTCCTGTGAGTTCCATTTATAGATTAATTTACAGGTCAGCAATCTCTGATTTTGTTTTAGAGATTTCCTTTTACTCACCCTCAGAACCAGTGCCCTGTCTGGCTTCAGGATAAGCAGGCCCCCATTTTCTCAATGTCAGTACAAAACCAAAAAGTCACTCTGCTGAGCTGGATCATAGAAATGGCTTAACCTCTATAAAGTTCTGGTTTGCATTTTCTCAGTTTTATGGCATAGTCTATTTTCAGAGTATAGAATGGAGCTTACAGGGAAA